CCCGCTGGTTCGAACCAGGATTCCTATTCCGAACTACCGGTATACCTCGTTCCACTAGGAATCCTAGTTCGAACTACCTAGTTCGAGCCCCGTGTAGCCGCGCTACACGAGGTTCGAAGCAGCGGGGATTTAAAAATAGCGGCTCCCCGCTTATGCAAATGAAGCCCGGGAAATTCAAATCCCGGGCTTCATTTGCAAGTGCGGTATGCCTACATTACCCCGCTAGTTCGAACTAGCGGTAGTGTAGACATACCCTCTGTGAGTAAGTCATTCCTTTCCTTTGTCGTCTATAAACAGTATTTTTCAACACAGGAGATAGGACCCAAAACTGGGTTGCCAGAATGTTTCAAAGGGTCATGTAGTAGCTCCTGTGCCCCATGGCATGTGGGGCTTGCCTCACTGCTCCAGACACTCCAACCTCAGAGGGCCCACTGTCACTCAGGTTTAGCTCAGCTGTCATGATGACAGCTGTCTGGGTAGGCCAAATTTTAGAGTGAATCTGCAACCCCATGAACCAGGTTTCACTCTACTCACAAAAATATGGTCCAGTGAAGGGGAGCAGAGCCAAAATGGAGTGGCACTGCAACCCTGGAGATTGCAAAGACCAGAACAGAGAGCCAACCCCTGTCAACACTACAACATAGGAACAGCAGGAGCTGTCACAGTGGGGTGAATGCCCCTCCCCTTCCCAATGGGCCAGGATCCAACCAAAACTACCCTAGGGCTACCATCCCTGTATGATTGCTTACCAGAATACTACTGACCATGAACATTTACAAATGGGTCCTGAGCCTCAAAAGGTTGAAAACCAGTGGTCTATAACAAACTGGCAAATAAACACACTATGTTCACTACTTTGCCACTGATTTTTGTAATTGAAGTCTTTATCGGAATCTATGCTGATTAGGGATGTAAAATCCCATTTAAGGGGTTAACTGGTTAAGCAATAAGTTTAACCAGTTAACCCCTTAAATAGAGAAGGGCAGGTGAGGAGGGGTGCTCCAGTCCATCTAGAGCAGCTTTCCAGTCTGGCCAGAGCAGCCCCTGTCCATGGTGGCCATCCACAGGGCTGGAGCACGTTCCTGTCTGTGGCAGGCCACAAGTTGCTTCTATCCACACCAGGTAGCTTCACTCTTACTTGGTGACACTTACCAGTTAAGGTTTACTAGTCAACCAGTTAAACATCCCTAATGCTAACTCACCAGGCTAACCCGCTAGCAGGACCAGTCAGTACCCACTAACTCCCCTTTAACACTGTGGATAGAGAGTGGGATAGAAACGCCATGACAGGCACCGCACCAGTTACGTCGCCAACAAGAGCCACTTGGGGGAGGGTGGG